TACTTCATTTAATTGGTGGATATAGCTACTGTTGGCATTCAGGTTATAATATAAAACAACATATGCTTTTGCGAAATTTAAACACATATTTTATAGGCTATTCTTTGGCTTACCACCCTCTAATGAACCCAAAACGTTTCTCTAACTTCTAAATGGATTCATTAAAAATAACCATTAACCAAAAGAGAATGGTTAAAAAGAGTAGAAAGGGTGGAGCAGTGGTTAGTGCGCGCGCCCCATGCATAGAGGCTGTCGTCTCGAGCGGGCGGTCCGGGCTCGCTCCCCATCCGTGGCCTCCCTCCTGCATGTCATTCCCCACTCTCTCTCCCTGATTTCCGACTCTATCCACTGTCCTATCTATCCATTAAAGGCACAAAAAGCCCCCCCCCCCCCCCCCCAAAAAAAGTAGAAAGGCAAAAGGTATCACCGATATCACCTGAAGGCCGTACATGCATTTGTGCAGTCCAACACACAAATCCCAACTTATTAGCCTTTTATATATTAAGTTAAAACTCACCCCCACACATCCCCGTATTTGGCATTGCACTCACGGTCAAAGGCAACCAAACTCTGCAAGAAATTTCATGAAATGCATTTAAATGTTTAGAGGTTCAATCGTCAAACAGATAGTCTGCAGTTTAACTAAACAAACACATAGTATCAGGCATGTCAACAACAATGTTGAATTGTGTTTCATTGCCATCAATTTAACTCAAAATAAGTTCATTTAAAACACCCTCATTCTTTTCACATTACTTAAATACTTATATAGCTTATCAGTGTCTAGGATCTTGTAAATATGGTGTGTCTTCCTACCTTTCCTATGTTATACATTGTTCCAATAAAAGGCATTGGCGTTGGTCCGCGTACTCCCATTTTTTTGAAAATCCTATATGGCCAAATGCCATACCTGTATCATAAAAATATTTTTAAATGTTACAATAAACAACCATCAGTGGAAACAAAATCACACAATTGGACAGTTATTACTCACAGTATTAGTAGGGTAAAGCACAGTGCCAGCAAAGTCCAAGTGGTTGCTGAAAACAAAGTAAAGAGAAACATTTTTCCTTTCAGTGTCAGCCGAGTAGAGGGAGAACTGGACACACAAAGTAGGCTACATAAAATAATACGACGAAACAACAAGCAACCTGATATGGCCTTCAGTGGGAGGGGCTCACAGAATTCAGGAAATTGTTATGTAATACAGATAGGACAAGTGGCTGCTGTTGTGTAACTGGGTGAAACTTCAAATACCAAGGACCCAGCTTGAACTTTAGACATACTTTTGTATTGCAAACGTTTATAAGATCTTTACATCATTTTAGATTTAGATTTCGGCTATGCAGCCTATTCGTGCAGCATCAACTCTGGAGCAAAAATTTGAACACCAACAAAAAAATTAACAAACAGCTTTCCGTCTTTTACTTAGACTCTTTGAGCACCACAGTAGCTTATAAGAAATTTTTTTTTTCGGTGTCTATATTTTTCCACAATAAGAGCACATGAACACACCTGACGAAGAACAGTCTCCCATGTGAACAACTTACTGAACACTTATTCAGCATACTGCTACCCCTACTTACCCTCCTCTAGGCTTTTTTATGGTCTCCAGTAACACATGAGTACTTCACAGAGTCTTCAGAGGAGTGGAGCTGATTTATATGCAGTTGTAAAGTTCATTAAGAAAAGTATAAACACCCTCGACTCCTATTCTTTGTCTTTATTGTTAAATATATATATTAATCAGTTATGCTAGAGACTTAATTCAGTTGAGACTATTTTCAAAGGAAACAGGTCAGCCACTAGAGGGAGACAAATGCACATAAACGATAGAGTGACAATCATCACTGGGGTTGGTTACAGTTGACAGTATATTGGGTTTTTCAAGTTATAATGCTTATTTCAGATTCAAGCTATATCGCCTGTCACAATGCTAGAAAATTCGAAACCAAGGAAGAAAAGCGAAGTAAATTCAAGATGTGTTCAAACAAATCCAGAGTTTGTATCCGTTTATTGTACATTTTCTTGCAAATGTCAGATTTGTTATGACTGAATCTTGAAGGAGTCCGGTAGGCTATTTTCTTAAACAGTTATTGTGCGTTGTCATGGATCCATCAACTTTCATTTATCACAAAAGACACTCAAGGTTTATCACTAACTGCTTTAAGGAAAATCATACAGACCTACTGTATTATCAAAAGAAACAACATTAGAATAAGAAATTAACATTTGGCGGCTGTGGCTCAGTTGGTAGAGTCGTCATCGATCATTGAGCAACATGTCCAATATGTCCTTGGGCAAGACATTTAATGATTGCTCCCACTGCTTCGGTGACAGTGTATGAATGGATTAGTGTTGTACTTACTCTCTGATGTACGTCGCTTTGGATAAAAGCGTCTGCTAAGTGAATTGTAACAGTGTAACATTTTGGGGGCAGTAGTAGCTCAGTCTGTAGGGACTTGGGTTGGGAACAGGAGGGAGGGCACCAAACCCCCTCTCCACCACCAGCCCAGGAGCGCCCGCTGTGGGCAGCTCCGTCACTCTGACATCTCTCTATTAGTGCATGTCCATTAGGATCCTGTTTGTGCATGTGTGTGTATATTTCAGCCTATGTGTGTGTTGCATGACTTACAGAGTGTAAAAACAGAAATTTCCCCTTGTGGGAATCAATAAAAGTAAATCTTAATCTTAATTTGATTGTAAACAAAGAAAAGATGCTCTGTCTTGAACTACTGTTGTCTGGGGACAAAACTGAGCTTTATCGACTTTGATGGCTGAAACTTCCACTCAAACTCCGAAGGAATCTAAAGGAAGAAAGTAAGTTTTATCAGAGAGACAACTTTAAATAACAGTCTGAAAGCACATGTGAATAAACTCTTACCATGGTGTCTTTGCATGTTTCCAAAGAGTAACTCTGCAGGAGACGGACAAGAACCAACTTCACAATAAGGATGGCATAACGCATCCCGACGCAATTACGAGGACCGAGCCCAACCGGCATAAATGCATATGGGTTCACTTCCTCACCACTGTCTTTACTGAACCTGCACACACACACAAACAGAGAAGCTCTAAAGATCGTGACAAATGACCCTCAGGGGACAAAAACAAAGTGTACTGTTCCAGCCTGTACCACACAGTATCAAAGAGCAACTTGAATACTTGAAGTTGGATCCAGGAGAGACAGACGGCCTCCTGCTCATGTCCTCTTGACTTTTTTGGTCTGCTTTGATCAGTAGCTTTTACAAATAATGGATGAAAGCTTTGAAAATATATTTCTGTTATTCTTTGAGTCAGTATACAAACTTGTTGCCATTATCCCATTGTGTCTCTTTTCTAAGATTAATTTTTTGGCTTTTTCTGCCTTTAATGGAGAGATAGGACAGTGGATGGAGTTGGAAATCAGGGAGAGAGAGTGAGGAATGACATGCAGGAAGGGAGCCACAGGCTGGATTCGAACCCGGGCTGCCCGCTTGGAAGACTACAGCCTCCATACATGGGGCGCACACACCAACCACTGCGCCACCAGCGCCCCCCATAGTGTCTCTTTTAACACAGTTTTAATTTGTTCATTAATGTGAAGAAGGGCAACTTATCACAGGCGTTCCCAAACTTTGCCAGAGGGGTGCCAGAGACTTGGGACCCCCACTATCCTGGAAGGTGTCTAATGCATATAATGTAGCGCAGACTCTGGTAACAAAAAAGGAATAAAACAGCCTATAAACCATGACTTTATTTTAAATAGGCCTGGTGATTTATTGTAAGAAAAGCTAGAGGCAGAATACAAGTGATTCTCATGTATAGACTGAAGCACTGAGTGGAATTCAGAGTCACACAGGTGTGTTCATCTTTAAAGAGCAGCAGACATATTGTTGCTGTCATGTGCAAACTTACATTTTAAGTGATTTTTTTATACATTTACTTTAGTTTCATTATACTTGATGACATGGTTTATTTGACATTGAACTACTTTTGTAAACATGTTTAAAATAATGGGTAAATGTACAACTTTTAAATGAGTTTAAACTCTTAATATTGTTTTTGGTAGGCATCTGGCGTCCTCCCTCTGGGTGTCTCGGCTTATCATACACTTACCTCTCTGGTCTGAACTTCTCAGGTGAACTCCAAAATCGTGGGTGCATGTGTACAATGTTCAGAGGAATCGCAACAATGGTTCCTTCAGGGATGTTGAGGCCGTGGACCTGGACAGGTGTTTTACACATCCTATTAAGCCGTGGTACATTAGTAAACAAGTGCATTGACTCATGGTCCAGGTACTCTAGATTGCTCAGATCATCATATGATATGGGAGCCAGAAGGTGAAAAAGGAGGAGTACAGACTAAAGTACAATGCACTGATTAACAGATGGGTCAACGTCCTCTCTGATTGATTGCAGTAACAAAAGGATACAGTAGGTCAGAAAGGGTGACCAGGTGACTGCATAAAGAATATTATTTTATTTTTGTATTATTTTTTACATTTTTAATGCAGTTTAGAATTGCAACTGCTCACAACATCAAGCTGACAGACTGTGTTTGTTTCTCTTCTATTCTCTGACTTCTTAACGACATACAGTGTTTTACTTGTGAGTGTATAGGGACAATAATCTCCTAATGGAATCACATTTCCTCAACGTAAATCAATCTAAGGTCAATTTTGTTTTTCCATTACATGGCAATTGAACATGTAACAGCAACCTACTCAATTATTAGACAAACCATTTATTGCTTTATTTAAATGGAAACTTGTTGGACAGAAAAACTTTTTGTGAAATCACAGTGATGCAGGTATTGTGCGTTGGCATGGATCCATCAACTTTCATTTATTACAAAAGGCACTCAAGGTTCATCATTAACTGCTTGTAGGAAAATCATGCAGACCTACTATATTCTCAAAAGAAAGAAACATGGAATAAGAAAGTTACATTTGATAGTAAACAAAGAAAAATTATCCATACTGTGTTTTGAGTTTAACAGGAACTCAGAAATATTTGTATGTTTGGAGATGCTCTGTCTTGAACTACTGTTGTCTGGGGACAAAACTGAGCTTTATTGGCTTTGATGGCTGAAACTTCCAGTCAAACTCCAAAGGAATCTAAAGGAAGAAAGTAAGTTATATAAGAGCGATAAAAAGACAACGTTAAATGACAGTCTGAATGCATATGTGAATAAACTCTTACCATGGTGTCTTTGCATGTTTCCAAAGAGTAACTCTGCAGGAGACGGACAAGAACCAACTTCAGAGTGAGGATGGCGTAACGCATCCCGACGCAATTACGAGGACCGAGCCCAAACGGCATGAATGCATATGGGTTCACTTCCTCACCGCTGTCTTTACTGAACCTGCACACACACACAAACAGAGAGGCTCTAAAGATCATGAAATCACCACTGAGAGAGTAGAGAGATTCATTTTTGACACAAGTGTGTGGAAGAAAAAAAACATCATACAGAGACTTATTAGATGTAGTATTTAAAGTCAGGCCCAAAGCCACCAGCAAGCAAAGCACAGAAGATTGGGCCAATGACATGGATGAAGAAAACCTGCACCACAAACCTCGAATGCCTGGTCATTAAATGTCACCCTTTTTATCTTCCACGGGAGTTTGCAGCTGTTTTTATACTGGCTGTTTAAATTCATCCTCGGGCTGACGTCACAACCGCAGCTTGCGGATATCATTCATAAATATGAAAGCTCCCACCCTGACACAGTGATTATAGCAGCGGGAGAATTCAATCACTGTCTTCTTAAATCAGTCCTCCATAGTTACCACCAGCATGTGAATCACTCTACAAGAGGAAAAAAAACTTTAGACCACTGTTACAGCAACATAAAAGCAGCATATCGGTCCCTTCCGAGACCGCCTTTCGGTAAGTCCGATCATGTGTCAATTTTTCTCTTACCCACATATGTACAGAGGAGTATATTAGTCAAACTGACTGTTTGCTCTATTCAATGCTGGTCTAAAGCTGTTGAAACTCAACAACAAGGGTTTTTTGATGTCACTGACTGGTCTGTTTTTAAATCTGATGACCTGGAGGAACATTGTGACGCTGTCACTGGATATATTGACTTCTGCATAGACCTGTGTATCCCCCGTAAGGTTGTTAAGCAACACTCCAACCAAAAGCCCTGGCTAAATAATGATGTCAGACTTAAACTAAAGGCCCGTGCCACTGCTTTTAAATCTGGTGATGTCACTAGCTATAAGCTGGCCAGATACTCGCTGGAGCGGTCAATAAAAGCAGCTAAGCACTCCTACGGAGAACGGAACGAGGGTCACTTTACTGGTAACAACCCCCTTCACATGTGGCAGGGTTTAAACACCATCTCTTCTTACAAACCCATTCATCCCCTCCAATTCTAGTGACCAGAGAGGGCTCTCTTTGACACTACAGCAAGTCCAAACCACTTTGTCCAAGATCATATCCCCCCTCGTGTTGCTAGATCTTGCTCTGAGCAGCTTGCCCCTGTATTCACAGACTTGTTTAATATTTTGCTGGAGCGCCGCATTGTACCAAGATGTTTTAAGGAATCAACCATAATACCTGTAGCTAAGAAGTCACAGGTTACCTGCCACAATGACTACAGACCTATTGCACTTACCTCAGTCCTTATGAAATGCCTGGAGCGGCTTGTGCTTGACTACATTAAATGTCAGATTCCTAGTTCCTTGGATCCCTTGCAGTTTGCTTATAGGAAAAACAGATCAGTGGATGATGCTATTGTTGTGGCCCTGAACACTGTCTATGAACACTTAGACAAGGGGAAATCCTATGTCAGGATTGTAGACTATAGTTCTGCTTTTATTACTATTATCCCTTCAAACCTGATACGCAAACTGCAGTGCCTTGGTTTGTGTGATGCTATCTGTGAATGGATTTTTAGTTTCTTGACTCTGAAACCTCAAAGAGTTCGAATCGGAGATTGTCTGTCTGATGAACTTGTTTTAAGCACTGGCAAGGCTGCATTCTAAGCCCACTGTTGTTCTCCTTGTGTACTTATGACTGTACTGCTTTACATGATAATAACGTTATTGTAAAATACGCTGACGATACTACTGTCATTGGACTCATTAAGTCAAATGATGAATCGCACTACAGATCAGAGGCACAAAACTTAGTCAGATGGAGTGAATTAAACAATCTAATCCTGAACTCCTCCAAAACCAAGGAGTTAGTCTTTGACTTCAGACGAGAAAGGGTATCCCAGCCTCCCATCATCATAAACGGTGAGGCCGTAGAGATGGTGAGGAGTTTTACATTTCTTGGTGCCACTATTTCAGATGACCTTAGCTGGCACTTAAACACCAGTGACATTGTCAAGAAGTCCCAACAGCGTCTCTTCTTCTTAAGGAAATTAAAATAATTTACCTTAAACGGACACATCATATATAACTTTTACAGGAGTGTTATCGAAAGCATCCTCAGCAGCTCGCTGACAGTCTGGTTTAGTAACCGCACTGTGCAGGAGAAAAAATAAAGTAGTTCGCCGTGCAGGTAGAATGATTGGTGTCAGCCTGCCATTAGAGATTTATAGTGCTAGGCTTCTGTCACGTGCCCTCAGCATCACCAGGGACCCCACGGGTCATCCTGCTGCGAGTTTTTTTGTTCCTCTTCCCTCGGGCAGACAGTATCGCTCTATTAAATGCACTTCGTCCCGTCGTGCAAATAGTTTCTTGCGCTGTGCGCAGCCTGAGCAAGCCTGCATGATTCATGGGCATGTCTCTCATGTGGCCTTACTTGCTCTGTTTTTATTTCTTCTTCCTTTTTATTTATATTTATATTGCCTGTTTTTTAAACTCACTGTCCTGTGTCCGTATCCAATTGTACTGTCTACCTCTTGCAAATGTTTTCCAATGTGGTTTTCATGCTACAAATGGCAATAAACTGAAATATTTTAGTCATATCTTCTGCAGCTGCAATAATTCTTCCACTTATCCGAGGTTGGGTCACGGTGGCAGCAGGCGCAGTCAGTCAACCACAGGGTCTCCTCCCAGTTGGGCGTGCCCGGAATACCTCCAAAGGGAGGCATCCTTTCAATGCGAAGGAGCTCCTCACCCTATCAATAATGCTGAGCCCAGCCGTCCTCTGGAAGAAATTCATTTCAGCAGCTTGTATCTGCAATCTTATTATTAAGGTAACTACCCACAGCTCATAACCTGGGGTGAAGGAGTTTGAACGACTATCCACCGGTAAATCGAGAGCTTTGCCTTCAGGCTCAGGTCCCTCTTCACCGCAACGGTCCGACACAACACCTGCATTACTACTGACACTGAGCCAATCCAACTGTCAATCTCACGCTCCATCCTACCCTCACTAGTGACCAAGACCCAGGATTCTTTAACTCCTTCACTTGGGACAAGCACTCACTCACCACTCGGATTTTTATTTTTTATATGTAAATACATGCTGCTGTTTTTATCCTGCACTACAACGGGCCAAATGCAACGAAATGTTTTTCTTATCTGCACTGTAAAGTACAAGTTTGAATGACAATAAAGAAAGTCTAAGTCTAAGTCTAAGTCTAAGGATAGAGCAATCCGCTGTTTTCTGGCAGAGAACCATGGCCTTGGACATGGAGGTGCTAACGCTCATCCCAGCCGCTTTGTAGTCCGCTGCAAACCACCCCAATGGCTGCTGGAGGTCCCAGCATGAAGAAGCCAACAAAACCACATCATCTGCAAAAAGCAGAGATGAGATTTTGAGGCTTCCAAATTGGAAACCCTCCTCTCCCCTGGCTGCTCCTTGAGATCCTGTCCATGAAAATCACAAACAGAACCAGTGACAAGGGGCAACCCTAGCGAAGGCCAATACACACTGGGAATGTGTCTGACTTAGTGCCGAGGATGCGGACACAACTCCCACTTTGGTCATACAGGGACCAGATGGCTCATAACTACAGCCCCGAGGCCACATATTCCTGCAATACCCCCCCCCCCCCACCACCACATGATCCCCTTCATAAGGTCATAAGCCTTCTCCAAGTCCACAAAACACATGCAGACTTGATGAGCAAATTCCCATAACCCCCCAAAAAGCCCTGCAAGGGTAAAGAGCTGGTCCACTATCCCACAGCCAGGACGGAATCCACATTGTTCCTCCTGTATTCAAGGTTTGACAATTGGTTGGAGCCTCCTTTCCAGCACCCTAGAGTAAATTTTCCCTGGAAGGCTGAAAAACATGATACCTCAATAATTGGAGCACACCCTCCGGTCCCCATTCTTGAAAATGGGGAACCACCACTCTGGCCTGCCACTGCCAGATTTACACACGACATTGAAGAGGCTTGTCAGCCAAAACAGCCCAACAATGTCCAGAGCCTTTAGCACTTTAGGGTGAATCTCATCCACATCTGGTGCCTTGCCACAGTGGAGCGTTCTATCTGACTCAGTGACATCTGCCAAGGTTAGTGATAAGGCTTACCCCAGATCTTCAGCCTTTGCTTTCTCTTCAGAGGACGTGTTGTCTGGGTTCAGGAGTTCCTCAAAGTATTCCTTTAACTGCCCAACGATGTCCCCAGTCCGGGTCAGCAGTTCTCCACCCCTGCTGATAACAGCCTGGGGCAAGCCCTGCTTTCCCTTCCTGAGCCATTGGATGGTTTGCCAGAACCTCCTTCAGGCAAACCGAAAGTCCTTCTCCAAAGTCTCCCTGAACTCCTCCCACACCCGGGTTTTTGCTTCCTCACCCCTGAAGCCACAGCGTTCCTCCATCGTTGCCCAAAAGAGCGTTGAAGTCCCCCAGTTGAACGACAGAGTCCCCAGGAGGAACCCCTTCCAGGACCACAAAGACTCCAAGTAGGCCTTGTACTCCGAACTGCTGTTCGGTGCACATGCACATACAACAATCAGAGCCTTTCTCTCCGCAACCTAATTCGCAGCGACATGACCCTCTCGTCACCGGGAAAAAGTCCAACACAGTGGCGCTAGGATGGGGGCTTGTGAGTATCCCCGAACACGCCCAGCGCCTCTCAACTCCAGAAAAGGAGAGAGTCCAGCCCCTCTCCAGGAGTTTGGTTCCAGAACCGGTGCTGTGCATTGAGGTGAGCCCAAATTTATCTAGCTGGTATTGCTTCACCTCCCGCATCAGCTCCGACTCTTTCCCCACTTTTACTTTAGTTACACCTACACTCATTACACTTAATGACATGGTTTGTTTGATATTTAACTACTTTTGTATAAATGTTTACAATAATGGGTAAACATACAACTTTTAAATAAGTTTAAACTCTTAATATTTTTTTGGTGTCCCCCCTAGGAGTCTCTGCTTATCATACACTTACCTCTCTGGTCTGAACTTCTCAGGTGAACTCCAAAATCGTGGGTCCATGTGTACAATGTTCAGAGGAATCCCAACAAGGGTTCCTTCAGGGATGTTGAGGCCATGAACCTGGACAGGTTTTTTACGAATCCTCTCAAGCCGTGGTGCAGTAGGAAGCAGGCGCATTGACTCATTAATAACATGGTCCAGGTACTCTAGATTGGTCAGATCCTCGTATGAAATTGGAGCCTGGAGGGAACAAGGAGAAGGAGTAATCAAACATTGTTTGAGCTATTTAAAAATTGGTAATGAATCCCATGACCGTGACGTTACATCTTTTGGTAAGTTGGTATCAATTTCTTCCTGCAAGGTCTGCATGGCATCGGGGTTGATGGCCAGGTTGTAAAGGATGTAACTGAGAGTGACACTGGTGGTATCATAGCTACCAAAGATGAAGAGGAAAGCCTGGGCAAGTATCTCAGTTTCAGTCAAACCTATAAAATGTTACCAAACATCTAGAAGCTAGAAAACTATGTTCCAAATCCATTCTGAAATTTAATTTCCCTCCAGACACAAACAGTGCACTTGCTCTTAAGCTAAAATATATACAGTAGCCTAGGATAGATTTATGGTTATGGTTTTTGAGGCGGAAAGTCTTTGCAGAGAGGAGGATTAAATTCCTTGATTTCAAACTTGATCAAACACATAACTAGTTTTGGATCGACAAAATGAAAAAAACAAGATTTAATTAGTTGAAGGGTATGTTTCAAATCAGAATGTTAAATCTAAAGCACAGATATATTTCATTAAAACTGAAACAAAACAGAGAAAAGCTGCCATTTCTTGAATTTAAGAGGGAAAACTGAAAGCTTTTGACAATTTTGCTTAAGTGAACTTCATGATTCATAGAAATTGACATAAAGTGTGAATACCTTTACTTGGCTGCTCTTGTTCATTATTTGTCTCTGAATCTCATTTTGAATCATCACCTGAAGGAAGTCTGCTCGAAGCTAGAACAGCACAGAAAAAAAACAAAATATGTTTTTATTTAAAGTTGAATAAATAACTTAACATTATAGGTGTAGTGGCAAACTAACAACAAGAAGTGCCACTGGAGGGAATCCGAATCATTTCCAACTCATGGTGTGTAAAAAGGGAATGTCTGCCGTTGATTACTTTTGAAGTATTTTTTTTATCAACAATCTTAAAAAGCACCAACAAAAAGATGGGTGTATACTGCATTAGACAGACAAGCTCGTAAACAAAAACAAATACTGAACACGACAGGATCCAGACAACATCTTCTCACACACTCACAGTTGAAAAACTGTGTGGCTTTCACTAATTCCCTCTCCCCCTTCACCTGTGTCTCCCTTTTCTCCCTACCTGTGGCTGTACTAATTACCACATATGGTACAAAAGTGTGGAGCCATGGTCGACATTACATGTTCCAACTCAACACAACAACTTTACAAGGGTCCCAGGCTCAACAAGTGTCTATGGCATTGGCAGAGACCACTTGTGAGAGAGTGGAGGTTGCACCCCTTCATAGTGGCTCAGATATGGAATTGCTTTAGCAGGGCAGGGTTGGACCTTTTTGCCTCCAGAGTGAACACCCACTACCCCCTGTTCTTTTCCATAACAGACCACAATGTACCTCTGGGAATGGATGCGCTAGAGCACCAAGGGCCAAGCCTATCTCCCTGGCATACAACAGCAGAGGTCTTCAGTTACCCCCCTCCTTCAGGGAACATAAGTTATAGTCATGACATTTCATTATAGACTCTGCATTTAGTGGAAATAGGACATATCACATTATGCTACAAGTCACTGCTCCATGCAGGTCAAACATATCAACCTCAAATTTGTCTCAGGAAAGCCTTTAGATGTTGATTGAGCATTCAGAAAAATGTGTTACTCTGAGGGCGTGTCTATAGTAATGCAGCAAATACAATCTGGTTTACAACATGGACAAAAAGAGAGGTTTCTTACCCTGCAGTTGGTAAACACTGAGTAGCACTCCTTCACCAACACAGTTTTTATAATCTCAGGGTCTGATACCATTAACATCGGTGACCGTCCATCATACAATCTGAATTTTAAAAAAAACAACTGTGATTAAACAAGAGTTTTTTTTTAAACATCCAGAGCTCAAATACAGAATAAAATCTGTACAATCCTTTTTTGGGACTCTTTTTGTTTATTGTGGTTTCTGTTTAGGTTTGGGTGGGATTTTTTTTTTCTGTGCTTCATGTTTTGCTGCAGAGGTTGAGCTGCTCAATAGGCACATCTACGACTCATCAAGTGCAATAACCGGCTACTGATCTACTCCTTCTGAAGAGTTATCCGGTTGCCAGTCTGCCCTGCTTCTTCAGCAGTATCTGGGCTCCCTAACCCTTAAAGAGCCCATATTATGCCCTTTTTGGGGATCGTATATTTAATCTATGTACCTACTTTTGTACGTTCACAATATCTAAGGTCCGAAAAAAGTGTCTGTTTTCATGTACTGCTCCTCCTTGCTCCCTCTACGCTCTGAGTCTGTCAGCTACGCTCTGTTGAGCCCACACTGTTAGACCCCACGTGGGCCAAATCTGCTTTGATTGGTCTGCCGATCCGCTCTGTCGTTATTGGTCAGTCGCTCAGCACGCGTCTCGGAAATTCAACATGAGCTGCAGGGCTTGCCACAATGAGCCAATGGACTTAGATCAGTGATCTCACACTGACAATGACGTCGGACTGACACATTTTTATCAAGGGGGGCTAGAACCGAGTGTTACATGCGGCTAATGCTACAGCTAACAGGAGGACGTAAGAAAAGCCGCGTTTCCGCAGACTTTGAATTTTTGCACATAGATGTGCCTAAATATGCACAGAACACTTGGAAAACACACTAAAGGGCATATAAAACCAGAAAAAGCATAAAGCAAGTATCTCTAGTTTTCCTAGTGCTTTGCCAGTGATCTAACCCTGTGATTCCCTGATTCTCCAGTGCTTCTGGCCAGCAAGCCTCAGCACCTCCACGACTGCCCAGCCTGACTCCACCAGCACAAGACTGGTCACCAGGATTCCTGAGCATTATTTCAAAAGTATGTAATAAATTCCCTCGTCTGAGCCTCACTTTTGAAGTAATATAAATTTGTTATTACAAAAATGTCCCAAAAAGCCCACCTAATAAAAAAAAAAGAAGTTCTTCAAACTCCAGCACTTCCTCCTGTGAAGGTTCAGTCACTATCCAAGTCAAAGAAGTACACTTTTGAGGTACTGCTTTACATTTCCTGGGCAAGTATTCATTTTTCTACTTACTTCATTTCATTGGTGGATATAGTTACTTGTGGTGTTCAGCCTTTTATAGGCTACTCTTTGGCTTACCACCCTCTACCGAGCCTATTGTGTTCACCATAATACTTTTCTCTAACTTCTAAATGGATTCATTTCAATAACTATTCACCCAAGAGTATGGGATGTTTAAAAAATAATAGTAGAAAGGTAAAAGGACAGTGGGGCTGCTTGTCATCCCGTTATCTTTTTTTAAATATTTTGTTCTTATTTTTTCCCACCACTGACATCACCTCCAGGCTGTACGTGTGTTTGAGCAGTCTAACACACCAAGCACGGATTATGCAGCTACATGTACGATGTGTCCTTGGGCAAGACACTTAACCCTGAATTTCTCCCGTTGCTTAGTAGGCGGTGTATGAATGCTTATGAATGGGATTAGTTACTTCTGATGGTCTCACTATATAGCAACTACTGCCATCAGTGTGTGAATGGGTAGGTATGATAGGCAGTGGAAAAGCACTTTGAGAAGTCAGAAGAATAGAAAAGTGCTATACAAGATCAAGTAGGCCTTTTAAAAAAAATGTTTTAAAGATTAAAGATTTATCTTTTGGCTTTTTGTGAGTCCAGGAAATGTAAAACATCTGTTTTACTTAGACTTTCTTGAGCACCACAATATAAGAAATCTTCTTTGCAGTGTCTATATTTTTCCACATTAAGAGCACATGAACACACCTGTCGGAAGAACAACCTATTGAACACTTATTCAGCATACTGATACCCTCAGAAAGAGTGAGTAGATAAATGCATAGAGAATATGATTTAATTTTTGTCTGTGGCAGCCTATGATGTGCAATTTTAATCTTTTTTATTGTAATGTAGTTTAGAATTGCTCCTGCTATCCTCACATCAAGGTGACAGATTGGGTGTATTTCCTGTTGTAAAGTTAAAGAAAAGTATAAAAATCTGTGAATCCTATTCTTTAACTTTATTGTTAAATAAATACCTATGCTAGTGTAACAGAGTTCATGATTCCACTTGCCATCATTTGCCATAACTTAGCATAGAATATCCTTATTTGACTATTTCTATTGTGTAAATACTGTTTCTAATGTATGTATGAGTATCCACATATACACATACAATATCCACTCAGTCTATGGTATCCACTGGGACTGATGCCCTCTGTAACATGAGCACCCTCTGCTGGGGCCCATGCAGACTTGAGCGGTGCAGCCCGTGTTTCTTTGCCAGTCTGCACTATGCTGTCCCCGAGGTAAGTTTATGTGTAAATAAGCTCTGCTAAAATACTATAAAATAAGTTCGTTTTTCTTGATAAAAGTAATATTTTTCCATTTAGTATGTTTAAGAGAATCTCTGAAATTATTGTTAAAGTTTTCTGTGATTATATTACTATGTTTTTAAGTCATTTAGGCTCACCACAGTGTTGTTTTGCTAGCTCAAATTGTAACTTCTGATCTCCGGGGTGTGGCGCCCATGAAGGAACATCTGGTTTGGGGTCGTCTGCCAAGTCATAAATGCCTGTCAGTTGGCAGCACAGTCATTGTGGAGCCAAGTCAGTGCCGTACAGTGCCCAGGACAGTTATGGTGGGACGGATTGTGAGTCCATTATGGGGAGACGGATGGGTTCCAGTGAGAGTCATTAACCCTTCCAATAAGCCAGTAACTCTCAGACGCAACTTTACATGCTGACATGTCCTCAAGTGCAAATCACTTGATGACTTTGAGGTCGACAACTACATGTAAACGACAAAACAGACAATGTGACTAGGACTGTTAACAAGACGGACACTGGCGATGAAAAGAGCTTGACCGTTGACTCTGACTGTACTCCACCTAAACCTAGTGGTTCCGTGCTACTTGACCTTGGAATACAACACATTGACGCTGACTCAGGTGAACTGTCTCTCTTCTGGAAGTCAAAGCTGGTTGAATTTATAGCCAAGTATGAGTCAATCTTCTCTCGTCACAGATTAGACTGTGGGAAAGCCAAAGACTTTGTTCACCGAATCAGGCTGATTGACAGCAGACCCTTCAGACTGCCTTATGGTTGTCTGTCTCCTTCACATTATGAGAAGCTCAGGATGGCTTTTAAAGAGATGGAGGAACAGGACATCATAAGAAAGTCAACAAGCAAGTACGCTTGTTTTGGTTTGGAAAAGAATGGTGATCTGCAGCTTTGCACAGATTTTCGTGGGGTCAATGCGAGTACATTCAAGGATGCACATCCACTGCCTCACTAGGCTGATGCTTTGGCTGCTCTAGGAGGGAATGCTTTCTTCTCGACCATGGATCTGACCTCTGGATACTACAATGTGGAAGTCCATGAGGAGGATAAGAAGTTCACCGCATTCACCTCTCCATTTGGGTTGTACGAGTATAACAGGCTTCCACAGTGACTCTGTAACAGCCCTGGCACATTCATGAGGATGATGATGTCCATCTATGGTGACCAGAATTTCTTAAGCCTCCTGGGTTATCTCAATGACATTCTTGTCTTTGCCCCCAACAAACAGCTTACCTTACCAAGACTTGAAATGGTGTTTGAGAAGTTACAGGCACACAACTTGAAGCTGGCACCCAAAAAGTGCCACTTCAAGAGGTCGTCACTTAAGTTCCTCAGGCACATTGTGACCAAAGGTGGCATCTCAACCTACCCAGAGAAGGTCAAAGCCATTATTGATCTGACTGAGAAGGATTTGATGAATGAGAGCAGTAACAGCCCCTCTCCCTCCAAGGTACGGTCATTTCTTGGTATGGTTGGATTCTACCAACAGTTCTTTGAGGGTTACTCCAGCATCAACAAGCCTCTCTTTGCCCTAGCATCAGGTATGCAAAAGCCACGACATGCCAAAGGTAAAAAAAGAGCGCCCCTGTGAACAGGAAGTTGACTTCTGATGATTAGACATTGGAGTGCAGTGGAGCTTTCAGGACGCTGAAGCAGGCTTTGTTAGACAATGTCACTCTAGCACATCCGGACTTCAGTAGGCTTTGGTGCTGTTTCATCGCAACTGGCGGACAGTGACGATGTTGCTCGACCAATAGCCTTTGCCAGCAAATCTCACAGGCTTGATTTTTTGGCACTCAAGTGGGCTGTTAATTCAGTCACTGGATGAGAGGTCATCTGTTCACCGTGTGGACTGACAACAACCCTTTGAACTACATTCTCAGCAAACCGAAGCTTGATGCCTGTGAACAAAGATGTGTTGCAAAAATTGCTCCATATGACTTTGAAATCAAGTACATTCCCGGCCCTAAGAATGTGGTTGCAGACGCAGTAAGCCGTGAGCCTTTTGTGCAGAGGGTTTGCTATAGCGCCTCACCAAAGTCCCTTACGGTGCACTTCTGACAGAAACTGACACTCCGGACTCTGACTGTGTGCAGGATGCTTTTCGTCAGTCCTGTGAACTTCCAGCCATGCTGCACACACACCATTACTTGACTGTGAACTGCAGAGATGCTGTTTCTGCTGTCTTGAAACAGTCTTTGGACCTAGACAAGCTGCCTCCTCAAGCCTACCGCTTTCCTCAACTTGTTCAGTCTGTTCAACCACATGAGCTGTCTGAGGTTTGTCCTCTGCCAAGAGACAAGCTGATGGATGCAAAACGTACTGAGACTTGTTTGAGCCGTGTTATCCTGTTTGTAGAACGTCAGAGGCTCCCAGACATTGGGATAAGCTGACAGTCAAAACAGGTGTTCTTTGTTGTGTCATAAAAGACCCTGTTACTAAGAAAAAAATCTACCTTTATGTTGAGCCTGCTGCGCTGAGAGAAAAAGTCCTTAAAGGTGTGCATGATGAGGCAGGTCATCAAGGCCAAAAAAGGGCGCTCTACCTGACTAGATAAAGGTTCATCTGGCATGGGATGGAGAGAGATGTCAGAGACTATGTGAAGTGTTGTCGTCGTTCTGTGTGTAGTAAGTCTCCTGAGCCTGAGGCCAGGGTAAAGCTTGAGAGTGTGACCACATCCAGACCTCTCGAGTTGGTCTGTATAGTTTTTTGGTCTGCTGAGGATTCCTCCAACAAGTTCTTTCTTGATGTGCTTGTGGTTACTGACCATTTTACTGCTGGTGCAGGCCTACCTCTGTCCGAACCAGTCAACCAAGGTTGTCGCCCAACAACTCTGGAACAACTTCTTCTGTGTTTATGGCTTTCCTGAGCGGATACACTCCGGTCAAGGTGCTTATTTCGAAAACCGGCTGATGGCAGAGATGCTCAAGTTGCTGGGGTTCAAAAGTCACATACATCTTATCACCCAATGGGCAACGGTGCTGTAGAGAGATTTAATCGCACCCTTGGAAATATGATCAGAGCACTGTCCCCAAAAGCCAAACGCAGATGGCCTCAACTGCTGAGATCTCTCAACTTCTCCTACAATGCCACAGTGCATGAGACCACTGGTTTCACCCCATTTCAACTGATGTTTGGCAGAACTCCCAGGTTGCCTGTTGATGTGATGTTTGGTTCTGTCCTTGTGGATAATCAGGTGGTGGACTATGATGACTATGTGCAGATTTTAAGACGTGACCTAGCAGAGGCTGTGAGAGTTGCTCAGGTCTCCACCACAAAACAGCAGCAGAAACAAACAGACTATTACAACAAGAGGGTCAAAGGTGCTGTTGTTGAGCTAGGAGACAGACTCTTGTTGGCTAATTAATGTGAAAGAGGAAAAGGGAAACTGGCTGATCGCTGGGAAAGCGGCCTTTACACTGTTGTGGAGAAACAAGACAACGCTCACACCTTTAGGATCAAGAACGGTGCTACAGATCAGGAGAAGCTAGTCCACAGGAACCTCATAATGCCTGTTAACTTTCTGCCCGTTCAAACTGAATCTGTTTACTGTTTATAATGTATGAGTATCCAGTGGCTATCCACTTTGTAACATGAGCGCCCAGTGCAATGTTAGAGCTTATTATTAGAAGAGTGGCTGTGAGAGACCGTATATGCTTCTGTTGTTATTAGATTAAATGGCATGCTGGTGCCAAAAGTGAAAGCGTTTGCCTGATTCATCACACAACGCAAGAGAGTATACAACCACTACACTAGTCTGAGACTTCATTCTGTAGAGGCTATTTTCAGAGGAAACAAGTCAGCCACTAGAGGGAGACAAATACACATCAATGATAGAGTGACAATCATCACGGGTCAGTTTCAGTTGACAGTATATTGAATTATAAAATTTCTACTGCTTCATTTGTCAACACAAGATTGAAACACAAGGAAAATACAAGATATATCATCTGTCACATATATCTATAACAAAAGGAAGAAAAGCAAGGTCAAGATATAATGCTTAATTCAAATTCAAGATATATTTCCTGTCACAATGATAGAAAATTCAAAACCAAGGAAGAATAGCAAGCTAAATTCAAGATGTGCTCAAACAAATCCAGTGTTTGTATCCATTTATTGTAAATTTTCTTGCAAATGGCAAATTTATTATGACTGAATCCGGTAGGCTATTTTCTTACACAGGTATTGTGCATTGTCATGGATCCATCAACTTTCATTTATTACAAAAGACACTCAAGGTTTATCTACCACTGCAGTGCTTTACAGAATATAAGAATCCCAACAGTCAAATACAGAACATTAAAATCCTATTAAAAAGCATGAAAAATAGAACAACAACGCAGCAACCATCCAATTAACAGAAAAGAGAGAAACAACGAGACAAAGTTTGACTAAAGTTAACAGTAAAACAAATGGATGGAAATCATGGATGAAACAAGGATTATAAATTGGCTTCACGATAAAAATGTTTTTTTTAAAGTGTTTTAAAAGAAGATACTGATGTAGCTCGTCTGAAATCCTCAGGCAGGTCTTTCCACAGCCAATGAGCCCGAGCTACAAATGCTCTGTCTCCTTTGGTTTTTAAGTTTGAAGTGTGAATAGTTAGGAGGTTCCTGCCTGAGGATCTTAGGCTGTGCACTGGCTGGTAAGGGGACAGCAGATCAAAAATATATTCCAGGGCCAGACCGTGATGTGCTTTAAAAGTAAGAAATAAAACATTAAAATCAATCCTAAAAGAAATGGGAAGCCAGTGTAAGGTCATTAAAACAGGAGTAATATAATCTCTCTTCTTCGTTTTTATTAAAAGTCTCGCAGCTGAATTTTGCACGTTTGGAGACGACTGATTAATTTTTGGTTTATACCTGTTAAAAGACTGTTACAATAATCTAATCGTGAAGCGATGAATGATTGTTTGTGTTTGGTTAAAAGATAGCATTGATCTTATCTTAGCAATATTCCTGAGGTGGTAATAGCATGACGGGACAACTTGTTTTGTATGTTTGATAGATTGCTATCAAAGGTCAAACCCAGGTTTTCTTCACATTAACAGATAGAGGACCAAGGGAGGAGAGGACATCTGGGTGCAACTTATCAGTGCCAATTATTGAAATTTCAGTTTTGTCAGCTTTTTTCCATTTTTTTATGTCTGTAAAACAATTGCTGAGGTCTGTGAGGTTTGGAGACCTTTGATCAATTGGGAAATACAGCTGTGTGTCATCAGCGTAGCAGTGAAACTGAATGTTGTGTATTTGTATAATGTAGCAAGAGGGAGCATGTAGAGGGAGAATAAAATTGGTCCCAATATTGACCCTTGGGGGACTCCACAGTTCAGCATGCTCATCAATAGACATAAAACATTTCCAATCTGTTAAGTAAGAGTAGAACCAATTCAAATATTGGTATGTTTGGAGATGCTCTGTCTTGAACTACTGTTGTCTGGGGACAAAACTGAGCTTTATTGGCTTTAATGGCTGAAACTTCCAGTTGAAGTCCAAAGGAATCTAAAGGAAGAAAAGTAAGTTATATAAGAGAGATAAAGAGACATCGTCAAATGACAATCTGAGTGCATATGTGAATAAACTCTTACCATGGTGTCTTTGCATGTTTCCAAAGAGTAACTCTGCAGGAGACGGACAAGAACCAACTTCATAGTGAGCATGGCGTAACGCATCCCGACACAATTACGAGGACCGAGCCCAAACGGCAGGAATGCATATGGGTTCACTTCCTCACCGCTGTCTTTACTAAACCTGTACCCAAACACAAACAGAGAGCTAAAGATCTTGGAGAAACCACTGAGAGAGTAGAGAGATTTATGTTTAAACAAGTGTGTGACACAAAAACATATACACACTTATTAGATATGGTATTTAAAGTCAGGCCCAAAGCCATCAGCAAGAAAAGCACTAAAGAGTGGCCTGATGACACGGAAAATATTTAGGCATATTTTCTGCAGCTGCAATAACCATGTATTCAACAGTTGAGTGGACCTAACTGTGAGATATGATGCAGCTGTAGATATCAAGTTTATAATTTTGCGTGTTTCCATGGGTCCAAATGCTTGTTATGGATCATTAAATTTGTAGTCTTTTTATTTCTTGAGATTACAAAAGAGACTCCTCAATGTGGAAGCCTGGAAGGTGCATATAACGCAGCGCAGAGCCATGCATGCCTATCCAAACTCTGGTAACACAAAAGAATAAAACAGCCTATAAACCATGACTTTATTTTAGAATACAGAATACAAGTGATTATCATGTATAGACTGAAGCACTGAGTGGAATTCATAGTCACACAGGTGTGTTCATCTTTAAAGAGCAGCAGACATATTGTTGCTGTCATGCGCAAACTTGGCAGTAACAAAATAGGTGCAATAAAACATTTAAAGTTTTTTTTTACATATTAGGTAGTTACACTCACACTTAATGACATGGTTTACTTGACAATTAACTACTTTTGTATAAATGTTTACAATAATGGGTAAATGTGCAACTTTTAAATGAGTTCAAACTCTTAATATTTTTTTGGTAGGCATCTGGCGTCCTCCCTCTGGGTGTCTCCGCTTATCATACACTTACCTCTCTGGTCTGAACTTCTCAGGTGAACTCCAAAATCGTGGGTCCATGTGTACAATGCTCACAGGAATCCCAATAATGGTTCCTTCAGGGATGTTGAGGCCGTGGACCTGGACAGGTGTTTTACACATCCTCTCAAGCCGTGGTGCAGTAGGAACCAATCGCATTGACTCATTAATAACATGGTCCAGGTACTCTAGATTGGTCAGATCCTCATAAGATATGGGAGCCTGCATGTGAAAAGGATAAGGAGCCATCAATTCAAACATTTTGTGAGCCAATTCAAAATTGGTTATGAATCACATGACCATGACGTTACATCTTTTGGTAAGTTGGTATCAATTTCTTCCTGCAAGGTCTGCATGGCATCGGGGTTGATGGCCAGGTTGTAAAGGATGTAACTGAGAGTGGTACTGGTGGTTTCATAGCTACCAAAGATGAAGATGAAAGCTTGGGAAAGTATCTCAGTTTCAGTCAAACCTATAAAACAAAATACAGCAAAATGTTAGCAAACATCAACAGCTAGAAAACTATTTAATGTCCCTCCAAACCCAAACAGTGCATTTGCTCTTAAGGTTAAATATATAAAAGACAGATGTATCAGGTTGTGGTTTTTGAGGCTTAAAGTCTTTGCAGACACAAGGATTAAATATCATGATTTCAAACTTGATCTAACACAAAACTAGTTTTTGATCTACAAAATGGAATAGAAAAACAAGATTATTGAAGGGTGTTTCAAATCAGAATGTCCAATATACAGAACAGATATATTTATTCAAACTTAAATAAAACAGAGAAAAGCTGCCAAAACTGAGAGCTTTTGACAATTTTGCTTCAGTGATTTTCATGATTCATAGAAATTGAGATAAGGTAGGAATACCTTTACTTGGCTGCTCTTGTTCATTCTTTATCTCTGAATCTGGTATCTCATTTTGAACCATCACCTGCAGGAAGTCTGCTCGGAGCTAGAACAGCACAGAAAACGTTCAACATTAAATAAAAATGACAAAGAAAACAATCTATGCGCTGGTGGATCAGTGGTTAGTGCACGCGCTCCATGTATGGAGGCTGCTGTCCTCCAAGCTGGCAGCCCAGGTTCAAAACCAACCTGTGGCTCCTTTCGACACTTTCTTTCCCTGATTTCCGACCCTAAACACTGTCCTACATTTATCTCTACAATAAAGGCACGGAAAGCCCAAAAATAAATATAAAAAAAAAAAAAAAGAAACTAACACTAAATGGGAAATGTATTATTATGTAATTAAAATATGAATGAACAGACATATTTTTTTAGCATTTATCTTTTCAAGTTGCACCTTTTTCCACAAAAGCCGGTTTTAATGACAATATGAGATTTCTGGAAATATGCTTATTAGGGCTCTAATCTATCGGTCTATCAGTCTTTTTTTTTTTTGTTTAACACTCGCTAAAATCACCAAACTTTGCACACCCATCAGAACAGAAGTGGTGAAAAAGGTTATATTTTATGAGTTTATGGGTCTATGAGTTTATGGGTAATTCGTAATTTTGAACACCTCTTGCGCTCTTACGCTCTTCACCCTCGCTAAAAACACCTCTACCAAGTAGGGCTAACAAGCTACAGCTAGTTAGCTCTGTCTCTTCTTTGGCTACTTCTTGCTCTGAATTAGCTAAACTGCCCACTGTCACCATGTGTTTTGGGATGATCATGAAAGCTAAAGCGAGGTAGAAGTCTTCCATTCCCCCCGCTGTCCTCAGGGAGAGCGCTAGCCGCTAACCATGGTGATGATGATGATGCTCAGAAATCGTCACGGTTCTCAGGATTTTTCTTCCTGTCCGAACCAACAATGGTCAGAAACAGCCTGCCCATTTTTCCAGATTTTGTCTTGGAGTTAACCTCAACATGGAGCAAACTGCTGTCTACCCACGTCACAGTGCCCAGCTATGGACAATATCAGGATTTAGATGAAGCTGAAAAGGCTGGTTAACCCTCCACCTATGGAGCCGTCAGTAAACCGTAATTGACTCCAATTTCAGTTATCAATTGTGAACATTTTGACTTTCCTTCAAAAATTGCTTGATAAACGTCTGTCTTTTTCCACGATTAAAGTCTATTTTGCAGCTATATCTGCCTGTCATTTGATTTTAGTGCTTGATGCTCTCTGTGGTTCCCCATTTGAGCCTATTGAATCAGTAAATATGAAATGTATTTCATACAAGACTACATTGCTTCACATTGACCTCCGCAAAGCGAGTGGGCAGTGTATTTGCCTAAGCTCATCCCTTTAGTGTATTATGCCTCACCATGAACATTTTAATAGTTAATAACTTGGCTGGACGGGGCGCGCTGGTGGTGCAATGGTTAGGGCGCGCGTCCCATGTATTGAGACTCTCGTCTCGAGCAGTAGGCCCGGGTTCGCTTCCACCCGTGGCCTCTTTCCGCATGTCATTCCCCGCTCTCTTTCCCCAGTTTCCGACTCTATCCACTGTCCTATCTCTGCATTAAAGGCACGAAAAGCCCCCCAAAAAAAATAAAAATAAATAAATAACTTGGCTGGACATAATCATGTCAACACTAAATCTTATGAGCTTGTCAAGACTGCCCTGATCACATCTGTCATTGGAATTTTCTTAAATTTTGAATTGTCATTTACAATTCCAATGCGGTTGGCTAAAGACAGTCACACCTGGACATCCACAGAGGTGCAAAGGCTCATTGAGTAAAGCAAGCACAATTAAGTCCAATGTTAAGAAGCCCAATTTTAACAAGCACATTTCCCAAAATATTTCCAAAAATGTCAAGCAATTCCTATAATTCCCCACAATTTTGTTAACACATTAAATATGGCTTACTGATTTTTCAGACTGATGCTTCTCTTTCAATTTCTTGATGATGTTGAAGAAATAATCAACACTGGGTCTGGGCATCATTTCAATATCTAGGAGTTTCAACAGATGGCTGGCAAAGGGAAATACCACTGAAAAAAGCGACAGGGTTGTTCACTAAAACTTTGCATTATAGTGGTGCCAAGATGCTAAAAAAATTAAAATTTTCTCTGCCTCCAAAAAAGTTGAAGAAATACATACTTGTTAGAAATATTGGCCAAAAATTTAAGTTCATAATCTTTTTGAGCTGAACAACAAGTGGGTCATCTGGATTGTTTATGGAGTTTGCCTCAACACCGAAAGACACACTGGTAATAACGTCCAAACTGTAAGGTGCCATGAATCTAGAAAAGAAAAATAGAGAGAGAGTGTTCATTTCGGACATATCATGGATTAAATGCGACCACGTTCAATGTCTCTCTGAGAAACACCGCAATGTTAAACTGGTATGTAATACATAAGCCACAATTTCAGAATTTCAGGTTATGTAATATGCTGATGATACTGTCATATACTAAATGTATCTGGAAGAACTAGACTGTCAGTTTCAACACAGCTGTCGTTTTGGTAATTGGAAATAGCAACGTGGAGAACTCAAGTCTACGACTCAATATTTAACGAACACTTTGTCAATTTCTTGTCATTCAAGGGTTCAGTCCTCTATAAAAATAATGAGTTAAAACAAGAATAATAGTCTGTATTTTGAGCCTTTTTTTGAAGTAAAACATGTTAGCCTCAAAGAGAGATTCCAGTCTGAAATTGAAAGGAGGGTGTTGGTCCCCACAAGCCCTGCCTTGCCCTGCTGCAAACACCCTACTATCTCCGGATGCTGTAGCTGACTGACAGCCTGGTCAACTGCTTGCTCTGCGTTCCATTTGCACCCTGCTCAAACTGATGCCTGTGTTAAATCTCTTACTGAAAGTCCATTTGAATATCTTGTGTTTTCCTCAAATGATCACAAATGGACACTAGTGTCTTTCCTGAGTGATATTATAGGTTTTATCTTCTATTGTAAAGTCTGCTAAATGTGTATTTGTGTTGTTAATCTTCAGTCATTGTGTACCGTATTTTCCGCACTATAAAGCGCACCGGATTATAAGGCGCATCTTCAATGAATGGCCTATTTTAGAACTGTTTTCATATATAGGGCGCACCGGATTATAAGGCGCATAGAATAGAACGTGTTTACAACTGAACAAGGCTGGGAGATATAAAACTACGTTTTCACAATAACTCAACGTTGTTCAAACGTTAATGTGCATATTCACAATATCTCCCAGCCTAGTTCAGTTGTAAACACGTAAAAGAAACACAGTCTGATACCGCTAATTCAAACGTTAGTGCATAACTCAACATTGTTCAGTTACGTATAACACGTAAAGCTCACTTTTTCAGTTCATTCCCCGTCCACGAATCCTCGAATTCTTCTTCTTCAGTGTCCGAATTGAACAGTTGGGCGAGTACGGCATCCAACATGCCCGGCTCCCTCTCGTCATTATCCGAGTCAGTGTCGCTGAGCGCCGTGTACAACCAGTATGGATCAACCAATTAACCAATTGATCAATATATAAAGCGCTCCGGATTATAAGGCGCACTGTCGTTTTTAGAGAAAATTAAAGGCTTTTAAGTGCGCCTTATAGTGCGGAAAATACGGTAGTTTGTCTTTTTTACAGCCTCATGTGTATTTATGGCTGAGCTTAATACATTTTAAAACCTTTAATAGAGAGGGAATTGCAAATTAGCTTTGACTATACATGCTGTAAAGTGTGACATTGATGTCCATGTTACATCCATGTCCAAACACAAATTAACAAGACATATATCCGAGTCAGTGTCGCTGACGCCGTGTACAACCAGTATGGATCAACCAATTAACCAATTGATCAAATATAAAGTTGCTCCGGATAAGGCGCACTGTCGTTTTTAGAGAAAATTAAAGCTTTTAAGTCCTTATAGTGCGGAAAATACGGTAGTTTGTCTTTTTTACAGCCTCATGGTATTTATGGCTGAGCTTAATACATTTAAAACCTTTAATAGAGGGAATTGCAAATTAGCTTTGACTATACATGCTGTAAAGTGTGACATTGATGTCCATGTTACATCCATGTCCAAACACAAATTAACAAGACATAATAAATAATGATTAACATACTGTTTGATGTCGACTGGCTCATCCAAATTGGTTTGTCCAAGTTTTTCAACAAGTCGGTCTGCATAACGAGCAACGATGGGAAAAACCTTGAAAACAGAAGAGTTGTGTAATACTGACAATTAACTTAACATATTACTGAGTCATAGACATGGGACTAGGTCATGAAAGAGAGATAGCAGAAGTGGTTAGATATGAGACTAACCTGTTTCAGTCTTCCACTGGTGAAGCATGGTGATAAAGAGCTCCGAATTCTTTTCCACTTTTCGTCTTTGACTGAAAATACTGCATCCTTTAAAGGTCCTGCCACTGCATTTTCCTGTAAAAATGATTGGAGTTTAATTCACTAAATGCTTCCATTTTTCTGCATCATTTCTCTTTTTTAGACCTGAAATTGTCTGCTCAGTGCTGAATAATCAAACACTGCATAAACTGAACTTCAACTTGAACATCAGTTCACAAGAGATAGCAGGTTCACTGAAACCTTATTTCCTACATGTTGACAGTGGGAGGTATTTTTCCACATTTGCTATACATGCAGCATGGGCCCTGTGTTTTGTCAGTATTCCCTACACTGCAGAAGGCTTCATGGGTTTATTCAGTTATGTAATTTATACCAAAAACAACACTGATTTGTTATCAACACTGACTTATTAATATGAAATACTTTGGTTACAACATGTACCAAAAGAGAGGTTTCTTACCCTGCGGTTGGTAAAAGTTGAGTAGCACTCCTTCACTAACACAGTCTTTATAATCTCAGGGTCTGATACTATTAACATTGGTGACCGTCCCTCATACAATCTGTATTTAAAAATACAAAAACTGTGATTAAGCAAGCGTATTTTTTTAAACATCCAGGTGAGCTCAAATACAGAATTAAATCTGAACAACCTAAACCTAAATTATAAAATTATACCTTGAGGCAGTAGAGTTAACTAAAAATGTCATCATTTTTTAAAAGATTTTTTGGGGGCTTTTGCCTCTATTTGGATAGAACTGTGGATGGAGTTGAAAATCAGGAGAGAGAGAGTGGGGAATGAAAAGACAGAAATTAGCCAGAGGTTGGACTTTGACCCTGGCCGCCCTAATTGAAGTTTATAGCCCCTGTAAATAGGGCGCAACCTAAGAGCTAGCTATCAGCGACAAACACAAGTCATGATTTTAAAAAGTAATTTGATCATATTTGTATAGTTCTTGTCAATTGTCATAGTTGTGACTCTTTTTTTAAATTTTGGTTTAATTGCTAGTGTGGGTCTCATTAATTAATGTTCTGTGTTAATTCAGGGGTGTTTCTGATTTGGGTGGGAATTTTTTTCTGTGCTTCATGTTTTGCTGCAGAGGTTGAGCTGCTCGATAGGCACAGCTGCGATTCATCAGGTGCAATAACCGGCTGCTGAACTACTCCTTCTAAAGAGTTATCTGGTTGACAGTCTGCCCTGCTTCTTCAGCAGTATCTGGGCTCCCTAACCCTTAAGCAAGTAGCTCTAGTTTTCCTAGTGCTTTGCCAGTGATCTAACCCTGTGATTCCCTGATTCTCCAGTGCTTCTGGCCAGCAAGCCTCAGCACCTCCACAACTGCCCAGCCTGACTCCACCAGTACAAGACCACAGGTTTCCTGATCATTATTTCAAAAGTATGTATTCAATTCCTTTAACACATGCCCCTCGCCTGAGCCTTGCTTTTGAAGTAATATCAATTTTTGTTATTTCATACATATCCCAAAAAGCCCACCTAGTAAAAATAAAACTTCAATACTTAAAAGAAAAAAAAATATTTTTAAGCCTGTTTTAACAATCTGGCCTGTAAATTCTTCAAATTCCAGAACTTCCTCCTGTGAATGTACAGTAACTATCCAAGTTAAAGAAGTGCACTTTTGAGGTACATAAATACATTTCCTGGGCAAGTATTAATCTTTCTACTGTACTTACTTCATTTAATTGGTGGATATAGCTACTGTTGGCATTCAGGTTATAATATAAAACAACATATGCTTTTGCGAAATTTAAACACATATTTTATAGGCTATTCTTTGGCTTACCACCCTCTAATGAACCCAAAACGTTTCTCTAACTTCTAAATGGATTCATTAAAAATAACCATTAACCAAAAGAGAATGGTTAAAAAGAGTAGAAAGGGTGGAGCAGTGGTTAGTGCGCGCGCCCCATGCATAGAGGCTGTCGTCTCGAGCGGGCGGCCCGGGCTCGCTCCCCATCCGTGGCCTCCCTCCTGCATGTCATTCCCCACTCTCTCTCCCTGATTTCCGACTCTATCCACTGTCCTATCTATCCATTAAAGGCACAAAAAGCCCCCCCCCCCCCCCCCCAAAAAAAGTAGAAAGGCAAAAGGTATCACCGATATCACCTGAAGGCCGTACGTGCATTTGTGCAGTCCAACACACAAATCCCAACTTATTAGCCTTTTATATATTAAGTTAAAACTCACCCCCACACATCCCCGTATTTGGCTTTGCACTCACGGTCAAAGGCAACCAAACTCTGCAAGAAATTTCATGAAATGCATTTAAATGTTTAGAGGTTCAATCGTCAAACAGATAGTCTGCAGTTTAACTAAACAAACACATAGTATCAGGCATGTCAACAACAATGTTGAATTGTGTTTCATTGCCATCAATTTAACTCAAAATAAGTTCATTTAAAACACCCTCATTCTTTTCACATTACTTAAATACTTATATAGCTTATCAGTGTCTAGGATCTTGTAAATATGGTGTGTCTTCCTACCTTTCCTATGTTATACATTGTTCCAATAAAAGGCATTGGCGTTGGTCCGCGTACTCCCATTTTTTTGAAAATCCTATATGGCCAAATGCCATACCTGTATCATAAAAATATTTTTAAATGTTACAATAAACAACCATCAGTGGAAACAAAATCACACAATTGGACAGTTATTACTCACAGTATTAGTAGGGTAAAGCACAGTGCCAGCAAAGTCCAAGTGGTTGCTGAAAACAAAGTAAAGAGAAACATTTTTCCTTTCAGTGTCAGCCGAGTAGAGGGAGAACTGGACACACAAAGTAGGCTACATAAAATAATACGACGAAACAACAAGCAACCTGATATGGCCTTCAGTGGGAGGGGCTCACAGAATTCAGGAATTTGTTATGTAATACAGATAGGACAAGTGGCTGCTGTTGTGTAACTGGGTGAAACTTCAAATACCGAGGACCCAGCTTGAACTTTAGACATACTTTTGTATTGCAAACGTTTACAAGATCGTTACATCATTTTAGATTTAGATTTCGGCTATGCAGCCTATTCGTGCAGCATCAACTCTTTTTTATGGTCTCCAGTAACACATGAGTACTTCACAGAGTCTTCAGAGGAGTGGAGCTGATTTATATGCAGTTGTAAAGTTCATTAAGAAAAGTATAAACACCCTCGACTCCTATTCTTTGTCTTTATTGTTAAATATATATATTAATCAGTTATGCTAGAGACTTAATTCAGTTGAGACTATTTTCAAAGGAAACAGGTCAGCCACTAGAGGGAGACAAATGCACATCAACGATAGAGTGACAATCATCACTGGGGTTGGTTACAGCTGACAGTATATTGGGTTTTTCAAATTATAATGCTTATTTCAGATTCAAGCTATATTGCCTGTCACAATGCTAGAACATTCAAAACCAAGGAAGAAAAGCAAAGTAAATTCAAGATGTGTTCAAACAAATCCAGAGTTTGTATCCGTTTATTGTATATTTTCTTGCAAATGTCAGATTTGTTATGACTGAATCTTGAAGGAGTCCGGTAGGCTATTTTCTTACACAGTTATTGTGCGTTGTCATGGATCCATCAACTTTCATTTATCACAAAAGACACTCAAGGTTTATCACTAACTGCTTTAAGGAAAATCATACAGACCTACTGTATTATCAAAAGAAACAACATTAGAATAAGAAATTAACATTTGGCGGCTCAGTTGGTAGAGTCGTCATCTCTCAACCGGAAGGTTGAGGGTTCGATCATTGAGCAACATGTCCAATATGTCCTTGGGCAAGACATTTAATGATTGCTCCCGCTGCTTCGGTGACAGTGTATGAATGGATTAGTGTTGTACTTACTCTCTGATGTACGTCGCTTTGGATAAAAGCGTCTGCTAAGTGAATTGTAACAGTGTAACATTTTGGGGGCAGTAGTAGCTCAGTCTGTAGGGACTTGGGTTGGGAACAGGAGGGAGGGCACCAAACCCCCTCTCCACCACCAGCCCAGGAGCGCCCGCCGTGGGCAGCTCCGTCACTCTGACATCTCTCTATTAGTGCATGTCCATTAGGATCCTGTTTGTGCATGTGTGTGTATATTTCAGCCTATGTGTGTGTTGCATGACTTACAGAGTGTAAAAACAGAAATTTCCCCTTGTGGGAATCAATAAAAGTAAATCTTAATCTTAATTTGATTGTAAACAAAGAAAAGATGCTCTGTCTTGAACTACTGTTGTCTGGGGACAAAACTGAGCTTTATCGACTTTGATGGCTGAAACTTCCAGTCAAACTCCGAAGGAATCTAAAGGAAGAAAGTAAGTTTTATCAGAGAGACAACTTTAAATAACAGTCTGAAAGCACATGTGAATAAACTCTTACCATGGTGTCTTTGCATGTTTCCAAAGAGTAACTCTGCAGGAGACGGACAAGAACCAACTTCACAATAAGGATGGCATAACGCATCCCGACGCAATTACGAGGACCGAGCCCAACCGGCATAAATGCATATGGGTTCACTTCCTCACCGCTGTCTTTACTGAACCTGCACACACACACAAACAGAGAGGCTCTAAAGATCGTGACAAATGACCCTCAGGGGACAAAAACAAAGTGTACTGTTCCAGCCTGTACCACACAGTATCAAAGAGCAACTTGAATACTTGAAGTTGGATCCAGGAGAGACAGACGGCCTCCTGCTCATGTCCTCTTGACTTTTTTGGTCTGCTTTGATCAGTAGCTTTTACAAATAATGGATGAAAGCTTTGAAAATATATTTCTGTTATTCTTTGAGTCAGTATACAAACTTGTTGCCATTATCCCATTGTGTCTCTTTTCTAAGATTAATTTTTTGGCTTTTTCTGCCTTTAATGGAGAGATAGGACAGTGGATGGAGTTGGAAATCAGGGAGAGAGAGTGGGGAATGACATGCAGGAAGGGACCCACAGGCTGGATTCGAACCCGGGCTGCCCGCTTGGAAGACTACAGCCTCCATACATGGGGCGCGCACACCAACCACTGTGCCACCAGCGCCCCCCATAGT